TAATTTCTAGTGACTCTCCATTTGAGGAGTTACATATATGCCCGGATCTTGTTTAAATGGACTTTGTAAGGATAATTTCTATTGACTCTCCATATGAAGAGTTATATTTATGCCGGATCTTGGCTAAAAGGACTGTAAGGATAATTTTAAGTGACTCTCCATTTGAAGAGTTACATATATGATAACAAGTAATAGGAGTATGGAGACCTTCCAGGAGATTTAAGTACCTGTAGCCCATGATCCGCACAACATGGCCACGCACGTGGCTCTCTTTGCGTGACTACTTCAAGTATTCAAGTAAGTATCTTGTTTAAAGGGACTGTAAGAATAATTTCAAGTAACTCTCCATTTGAAGAGTTACATATTTGCCCGGATCTTGTTTAAAGGAACTGTAGGGATAATATAAAGTGACTCTCCATTTGAAGAAGTGACTCTCCATATGAAGAGTTACATATATGCCCGAATCACAGCGGTACCCATGGGCCATGAAACCTTTATCTGATCAATAAATGTAGAATATATTGTTGTTTTTCTTAGTTCAGAAGCTTGTCTTTATATCTAATAATTCCTACATTTTTCCTGTAGTAAGTAGTTTTACGATATGGTTTATAAACTGTTCAAAGCACGGGCAGCCGTAGTACATTTGAATTTCCGAGTCGGGCCAACCTTTCCGGTCCCCCAGTTTGTACTGTACCTAGCTCTGTGGACAGGACTAGTCGGTGCAACAAGGTTGACGCGGTCAGACTTTAAGCTTCATATAGGTTGAATTTACTTTTACTAAAGAGGCAGATTTGCGTGAAAGAATAGTAGATTAAGAACGTTTCAATTTCTTAATTTAACCTTTTGGGCGAAAACGTCGATATCCCATGATTTTTTTTTTCATCCTGCAGAACTGAATTTGGTTTATTTACAATATTCTTTTTTAAACTACTGTAAACCTTTTCTTCACAAATATTTATTTCTTAACTCTATTTCTTTTAGTTTTGTTTTCAAAATTCTTAATAATAAGAAATTTTGAAAATTTTGAAAATTTAGAAGAAATTATTCTTGACACAATTTATTTGTGACAAACCAATAAAAAATACTTTAGATCTATTGTATTAAGTAAAATCTTAAACGTTTTCTTCATTCTTCGATAAAACCGGCCATGTCATTTTAACCATTGGCCTCGGTTTTTCACCTGTAAATTCTCCTTTTTAATCTTAGTNCCCCCCTGTTCACTGCATTAAATTGTATTAACTGATTTAATTCACATAGTATATTATCATAAATTTTGTTACAATCACGTTATAATCAAACAAATATAAAAACATATTATTGCTTAATTTCCTATCATATCACTAGGACTCACTGGTAATAAGCAAACTATTTGAAGGGGTTTACAATATAGTTTTTACATTAAAAAATCACAATTTTTGCGTAACAACTGCATAAAGAAATTGGAAATGTTCAAGGCTGATGTCTTTCTTTTAAACTTTTTCTAGCCTTTCCATTTTTCTTAATTTTAGTTTTCAGTGTTCAAAAATCTACTTTTTTATCATCTTTTTAAAAAAATTTGCTTGATAAAAGAATTGCAATGTTATTGATTTTGGAAAAAAAAAATGGAAATATTTAAAACTCAATTTAAGGGAATACATAATTGAAATGTGCCTACATTGAGAGATAAGGTTAAGCTCTATAAAGGAAAAAATGTGAAAAAGGAGGCTATAAGGCCCCCATCCATCAGACAGTATTGTATTGAGGTTACATCTTACTGTATTATTGTGGGTGTATGTAATACAACTCTTTTCAAAAATACCTAAATATCATTTTCTATTTCTAAAGTTGGAAAATGTACGTACATTGTACATTGTACATTGTACATTGTACAATACAAATAAACAAACTGAGCCTGTGTGTTACTTAGATATTGTATGGGGGGGGGCAATAATAATGTGTAGTTAGGGTTTCCGTATGTATCCAATAAACGTCGTAACGTCCGTTCCTAATTTTGTGTGGGACCTTACATGACCCCAGGAAGGTTTATGAATAATCAAAATTTCAAAAATTAGCCTCGAACAAAATTAGATTTTTATAAAATTTTGAAACCCCACGAAATTTTTGTATGGAATCAGCAAACTTTTTTGTCTGTTTTGGTATTTACAATGTATACAAAGAGAAAGAGTATTGTATAGAAGATAGGCACCCCCTGAAGGTCTAGTTGAAATAAAATTGTGCCAAAACATCCATTATTGATATTTAAGATAGCAGAACGTAAATCAAATTTTTGATGCATTTTGTCACTAAAATAACAATGCCATTTTTTATTATCTCTTAAATAGCTTACTTGCATGAAAAGTAAATACACACATAGATATCAGAATAGTGATGAATTTTCTTGTTATAGGACAGAGAGCAAATGTACGGAATAGATATAAGATGGATGGTAAGCTATGTATTAACCATCTCCGGTCTTAACC